GAAGGAAGGAAGGAAGGAAGGAAGGAAGGAAGGAAGGAAGGAAGGAAAGACCCCTTCCCCTCAAAGTGGCAAAAGCTAACCCTGAAATCGAATCCGGCGTTTGCAGGCTCCTGGTACAGTACCCATCTTCCCGCGTTTGCAGACTCCTGGGACAGTACCCATCCTCCCGCGTTTGCAGGCTTCTGGGACAGTACCCATCCTCCGGTGTTTGCAAACTCCTGGCACAGTACCCATCCTCCCGCGTTTGCAGGCTCCTGGGACAGTACCCATCCTCTGGTGTTTGCAGGCTCCTGGAACAGTACCCATCCTCCCGCGTTTGCAGACTCCTGGGACAGTACCCATCCTCCGGTGTTTGCAGGCTCCTGAGACAGTACCCGTTCTCTGACTCTGTTGTCTCTGTGATCAAATGTTCGACAGAAATAAAACAAGGAGGAAGGGTTTCTTTTAGTTCACAGCTTCAGAGATTTCAGCCTGATGGTTTTTGTGGGTTTTTTGTTTGTTTGTTTGTTTTTGTTTTTTCTCTGTTGACTCTGTGCCAGGGAGAAGGCAGTAAGTTCTAGTCAATGGGTGTTCACTTCATGCTGTAGATCAGAGGTTCTCAATCTTCCTAATGCTGTGACCAATTAATATGGTTCCTCGTGTTGTGGTGACCCCAATCATAAAACTATTTTTGTTGCTACTTCATAATTGTAATTTTACTACTGTTATGAACTGTAATGTAAATATCCCACATGCGGAGGGGGGGGCGACCCGTAGGTTGAGAACCGCTGCTTTAAAGGAAGAGGAGGGTGTTCACCTCAACATGGCTAAGTGGCACAGATCTGGGAAGGGTGGGTACCTGGCATAACTTCATAGTCTCATCCTCAACCACTCTCTTCCTCCAGGGAGGCTCACCTAAAGCTTCCCAATCCTCTCTAAACACCGCCACCAACTGAGGCGCTAGGGCATGAACCTGTGCGGGACATTCTATCTGTAAACCAGTACCATTGCTTACAAGATTGCATCTTCTCAGAGTCAAGAATGTTATCACCCTGTGGTTGCTGGGAATTGAACTCAGAACCTCTGGCCAGTGCTCTTAACCTCTGAGCCATCTCTCTGTAATGATATCTGGTGCCCTCTTCTGGCATGAAAGTATACATACAAGCAGAACACTGTATATGTAATAAATAAATATATATATATTTTTTTTAAAGAATGTTCTCACCTAACACTCGGATATTCTGATTTCATTCTATCCCACTCTGACTTCTGTTGGGTCCTACAGTCTACTAAGTTTTGTTAAGCATTGCCTGTGTCTTCTTCAGTTTCAGCCATTGTGGGTGTGGTGCGATGAGGCGTCTAAGAGACCGATTAGAACTCTGGATCTATTCTTCATGGGTGGCTTAGAGGTGCAGGATGGTCCATCTTCATTGTCAATCTGACTAGGTTGAGAACTACCCAGAAAATTAGTCAAGCACTCTTGGCGCCTCCGTGAGGACATTTCCAGAGAGGATGGCCTAGCGGGACGACCCACACTGAACGTGGGCAGCACCATCTCACGGGCTGCCCACCCAGGTGATAAACGGGAGTGGGGTGAGTAGGGAGGGAACTTGCAAGTGCAAGAGCAGCCGTCCTCTCTCTCTGTGTCCTGGCTTCACCAAGATGGGCGGGACAGTCTAAAACAGGGACAAAATAAACCCTTTCTCCTTAAAATTTTAAAATGATTTATTTTTACTTTATGTGCCTGAAGAGACATGAACAAATATCTACCCACTACAGGAAGAGCACTGACAACAGATCAAAATATGATTCCACCCAAGTCTAGCTTCACAAATCAATGAATTGGTTAATTGGGCTCATTCCCAGAGCCCCTGCAGGTAAGGGATTTCTTACTAAAGATCCACCCAGTGTTTTGAGTATTTGGGGTTGGGGGTTCTTTCGGCTATTATTCTACTTGTGATCTTTTTTTTTTTTTCAATGAGGCACAAACTAGAGTAATCTGGAAAGAGAAATTTCAATTAAGAAAATGCCTCCATAAGATCCGGCTGTAGGTGAGTTCGTGGAACATTTTCTTAGCTAGTGACTGACGTGGAAAGGCCCAGCCCATTGTGAGATGCCATCCATGGACAGATGGTTGGGGTGTATAAGAAAGTAGGTTGAGAAGCAAGCCAGTAAGCAGCATTCTTCCGTAGCCTCTGCTTCAGTTTCTGTCTCCAGGTTCCTGCCAGGAGTCCCTGCCTTGATTTCCCTCAGTGGTGAAGAACATATAACCTGAGAGTTGTATGTTGAAATAAACTCTTTCCTCTCCAAGTTGTTTTTGGTCATGGTGTTTTATCACAACAATAGAAATCCTAATTAAGACAGCTATCCTAGCTGCAAGGGAGTCTGGTAAGTCCTTCTAGCCAGGCACAGTTATGTGACAACCTCCTCTTAGTTGAAACATCCCAATAAACTCACTGGCTCACCAAATTTGTCTTTCGTGATATCTCTTATCGATCATCAGTTCTCTACCTGGAATGAATAGATGTTCGTGTCACGTGTCTCCAGGAAAAGTGTCATAATGAATACTGTAATTAAATGAAACCCCTACTACTAAAGGATATAGAGAGGTGTAGATACATCTTAGGCAGCTAGCATTCTCTGCTACCCACAGCCTGGTAGTGAGGGCACAGATTGTGAAGGGCAGAAGTGCCAGGCTGAAGAGCATTTTGCACTAGAGTGTGGGAGAACCCTGTGAGTACAAGGGTTTGTGTGTGTTCTATTTGCCCAGTACCTGTAACGATGCATGGCATACAACAGCTTTCAGTAACCCCTGAGTGATGGTGGCCCTGACTGATGCAGAACAATAGAAACACTCCAGTCATTGTTCAAAGCATGGTAGACGTCTTAATAGAAAAATGTAGTTGATGCTTTCCCATCGATTATTTAGAAAGTCATCACTCTTGCCAGGGAGCTCAATCAGTAGGACAATGAATGCCGGTGTTACCTTTTGTGGGATTCAAAGCCTTAGTACCTCCTTCAACCCACTTAAGACTAAGTGACAGAATCAAAATGTTTCAGTCCTGAAACACTTAATGTTTCTCCATCAAGAACATTCTGCTACATGAATACCCCTACTTAGAATAGCTAAAACATTGCTAATTCCATCGACTCTCTATTATCTAACATATTACTTCTGCAGATTTACCCACTTAGACTAATAATAGTTTTGTTCTTTAAAAATACATTGTATTTGATTCACAGACACTGAGGGCAATCATGGTGGGGAACAAGGTCTGGGCTGGGGTTGGGGACTGGAGAGTATTGTTCAGGGGATACAAAATGTCAGAGGGGTAAGTAGTGGCTTCAGGCACTCTATTGGGCAACACCTGGCTACAGTAAAAATCAGTGTTCCCAAGAGAGCAGGAGAGGGCTCTGCCAATAAAAACTCATGTTTTGTAAGTGTGACAACTTGAGTTCAAGCCCCAGAACCCTCAACTGAAGGTAAGAACTGATCAAATGTCTCTGACTTCTGCTTGTGTCATGGCATGTGTGCCCTCCCAACAAAATATCACATGAAACAATAATAATATTTTAATAATTTACTTAGCTTTATTTTACACACACTGGTATGAAGATATCAGAACCCTTGGAACTGAAATGATAGACAGTTGTGAGCCGCCATGTGGGTGCTGGGAACTGAACCCGGACCCTCTGCCAGTGCTCTTAACTGCTGAACCATCTCTCCAGCCCACCTTCCAATAGCAATATTTTTTAATTTAAAAATAAAATGACTAAGACGATAGATTTCAAATGTTCTTGTGGCAACAGGACATTTGATGAGGGCTGGGAATGTCGCTTAGGAGTAGGATGCTTGCCCAGCATGATAAAGCCCTAGGTTCTATCCATGGTGGCTTCAGCCTGTAACTTAGCATATGGGAAGAGGTGGCAGGGAAATCAGGAATTCAAGGTTGTTTTTGGCTAGGTAATGAGTTCAAAGCCAACCTGGACTACATGCAACCTTGTCTCAGAAAACAATGTGATAGGATGGGGAGGAGTTTAGAGCACACAGTGCTCCTATAGAGGAGCTGGGTTTGGTTCCCACCATCCATGCTCACAACCACCTGCAACTCCAGTTCCAGGGAAACCAGGGCCCCTGCCTCCTTGGGCAGTGCCCCAAACACGTCTACAGACACACACAGACAAAACTGAAAAACAAAATCTCTTTATTTTTTTAAATATTTATTTATTTATTATGTATACAACATTCTGTCTGTGTGTATGCCTGTAGGCCAGAAGAGAGCACCAGACCTCATTACAGATGGCTGTGAGCCACCATGTGGTTGCTGGGAATTGAACTCAGGACCTCTGGAAGAGCAGGCACTGCTCTTAACCATCTCTCCAGCCCACAAAATCTCTTTAAAACTAAGAAGTTGCCTGGTGGTGGTGACACACGCCTTTAATCCCAGCACTTGGAAGCAGAGACAGGTGGATCTCTGTGAGTTCGAGGCTAGACTGGCCTACAAGAACTAGTTCCAGGGCAAACTCCAAAGCTACACAGAGAAACCCTGTCTAGGAAAAAAAAAGTCATGCATATCTGAATTGGGTCAATTTAGCTATAACACAATGTATCTATTTTCAAAAATTTTTTTCCATATACATGTACTCTCCAATTCAGTCTGGACTGCCATAGAGACAGACAGGAAGCGCAGGAGCATTTTCTTTGGCATCTTAGTGCAAAAAATTTTTTTCAAGACAGGGTTTCTCTGTAACTTTGGGGCCTGTCCTGGAACTTGCTCTGTAGACCAGGCTGGCCTTGAACACACAGAGATCCACCTGCCTCTGCCTCCTGAGGGCTGGGATTAAAGGTGTGCACCACCACTGCCCAGTCAAATTTTCAAAATATGTATTATATATTATAATATATATATAATTTTGATTTAGATTTTTGAAATTGCAATTTATTTTATATGTGTGAATGTTTTGTCTGTTTATATGTCTGTATAAATGTCCCTGCCTAGTGCTCTTGGGGACTGAAAGGGAGCATTGGATACTCTTGGATTGCATCTGCAGATGGTTTTGGGCCATCATGTGAGTGCTGGGAACTGAACCTGGGTCCCCTGCAAAAGCAGCAAGAGCTCCTAAACACCAAGCCCTCTCTCCAGTCCCTCATTTTATTTATTTATTTATTTATTTATTTATTTATTTATTATTTGAATAGGATTACACATAGCTATGGCTAACTTTTAACTCACTGCATAGTGAAGGGTGACCTCAAACCCCTCATCTTCCTGCCTCCCCTCCTGAGTTCTGGGATTAGAGGTGTGGGGCACCATACCTGGCTTTGTAGACAACCTCATCCATGTATGCCACTGTACTCTGCTCTTACTCACTCCCAATATCATGTGTCCAGTTCTCCTATATGATGTGTCCCAAACCAGCTCACCACAGCTGGAGTTCAGGGTCACATTTCCTTCTCTCTGGTCTGGGATGGTCCATAGCCTTTCTGCTTATTCTTTTGTGACATTGACATTTGTGGAGAGTCTAAGGTAGCGCTCCATCAATTGTTTTCCTTGGATTCGTCTGGTTCTTTCTTGTTGACTTAAGTTCAGGGTAAATATGAATTTTCCCAGAATAATTCAGAAGCAGCGCTGTGTCCTTGGTGTGTCCCTCTGGAGGGAACACTGTGTCTTTCCATCTTCTTCTGGGTGATTAGGGGAAGCTGGAGCCAGCTTGGTGTCTTCATTGTAAAGGTTTCTGTCCTTGGCTGGGAGAGGGAGTGGCTCAGTGGGTGGAGCGCTTGCGTGCCTGCACAGGAACCTGAGTTCAGATCTCTGGCACCCACATAAAAGCCAGGCACTGACGAGGGGGTGGAGTTAGGGGATAGGTGAGCTTAGGTGAGACTGAGAGACCTTGTCTCAAAAATAAGGGGTTGACATCTGGCCTCCACACATGCATACACAATTGCATTCACCTGCACATGGGTTCATGCACATGTGCATGTACATGCACACATGCAGACAGAAACTCGCACACACACCGAAGTTTCAATCTCTGAGACAGGTGCTGTGATTGATTCATGCCTGCAGTTCTCAGACTGGGGAGTCAGGGACAGGAGAATGAGTCTGATGCTAACCTGGGCTACATTGCATAATTCTGTCTCGAACACTAAGGCAAGCAAGAGTTCACCTTTCCGTCCTTCCTTCAAGTTAAGGGAGAACCTGTGGGGTGACACTATTACCCCAAAACTTTTTTGCCAAGACTGTAACATCAGGTGACCCTTGCCACAATCAACTCAGCCTGTAACTTTGAAATGCCAATATTGATTCTCAAGCAAGGGGCCCTGATTCTCCACAAAGACAAAGTCAGTACTGTGAAAGTAAGTTTGTGTGTGTGTGTGTGTGTTGGTGTGTTTGTATGTGTCTATGTTTGTGTGTTTGTGGTGTGTTTGCAAGTGTGTGTGATGTGTGGCTGGTGTGTGTGTGTTATGTAGTGTGTTTGCAAGTGTGTGTATGTGTGCATGGTATGTCTATATAAGGAGACCAGAGAATGACTTTGGTGTTGTGTCATTCCTCAGGAATGCCATTCACATTGTTATTATTATTATTATTATTATTATTATTATTATTATTTTCAAGACAGAGGTTCTCCATGTAGCCCTGCTACATGGATTTGTAAACTCATGGATTTGCAAAACTCAGGATTTGCTCTCTGGTCCTGAATTCACAGAGCTCCACTTGCCTCTGTTCCTCTTGAGTGGGATTAAAAGTGTGTGCCACCACCACCCAGCCACATTATTTTTTAAAAAGTTGTTTTGCTTGTTATTATCAGATGTATATGTGGTATCTGTGCATGATGTGCTTGTGGGAGGGCAGAGGACGACTTTGTGGAGCTGGGTCTCGCCTTCCACCTCTGTGTGGGTTCCAGGGACTGAGCCCATACTGTCAGGCTTTCACAGAGAATGCTCCACTCTCCGTGGCAGCTGGATGATCCCTCATCCAGCATCTTTTTGATTGCTTTATCTCCTTTATGATTTTTTTAACCTGAGATTCACCCATTAGGCTAGACTGGCTGCTGAGAGAGCCCACATCATCTCCTTTCCCTGCCTCCTCAATGTCACTGTGCCCAGCTTTTCACATGGGTTCTGGGGGTCAAACTCAGGTTCCTCGTGCTTGCAAGGCAAGTGCTTCACAGATTGACTTATCTCTCCAGAACTCTCCATGTTTTCAGACAGGAAAACATTGCTCTAGCCCAGGCTGGCCTGGAACCTGCGCTCCTCCAGAATGCTAAAAGTGTTGTTCAGCAGACATCTCATCCACTCAGTTTCCCTGGAGACCTTTCTCTATAGATTCACCATAGCCCTAGGGTCTTTTTCTCTCTTCGTTCAGAAACGCTGGGGAAAGCCAGCCCAGAGTCCTTCGGTTCAGGACCACGGACAGGGAACGGCGCTGTTAATTGCAGAATAAAGCTTCTGCAGTACTGGTGCCTCGCCAAGGATTCTTCTAAATTATTTACATTTATTAACTTTTTTCTGTACTTATTTTTAGGGATGAATGATTCTTGCTATGTTTGCCAGGCTATCCTGCCACTCATTATGTAGCCCAGGCTGGACTGGAACTCACTGTTCTCCTGAAAGCTGGTGTGATCTCTGTGCACATTCCCCAGCCTGATCCCCGCATTCTCTATGTTCATGAACTTCATTAGCTACACCTTCCTGCCTACAGAGGCTGGAAAACTAGCATATTCTCAGACTGCTATCCAGCTAGGCTCTGCCTTACTTAGATTTCTCCATTCATGTGCTCTTATAAAAGGTGTGGACGGGGGTCTGGAGAAAGTGACGCATCAGCTGGCGGATCAATCATTTTCCTTCCTCCTCCTGGATAGACTTTGGTGACAGTCAGTCCATCACTGTGGCACTTCCTGGCTGAAAGGCCTTAAAAAAACACTTTTTAGTATTTATTTAATTTCCTTTTTTAAAAATTGATTTTATTGAGTTATACATTTTTCTCTGCTCCCCTCCATTTCTTTCCCCTCCCCTTCAACTTTCTCCCATGGTCCCCGTGCTCCCAATTTACTCAGGAGATCTTGTCCTTTTCTACTTCCCATGTAGATTAGATCCATGTAAGTCTCTCATAGGGTCTTCATTGTTGTCTAGGTTCTCTGGGATTGTGAATTGTAAGCTGGGTTTGGCTGAGGGGTCTTTTAGGTCCTACTGGGGGAAACTAGTTCCTAATTAAGCAGCCAGCATCCCAACCTTAGGAAAAAAAGGGATTCCCTAGAGTCTTGTGTCTGTAGCTGGGCTCTTGGAGCCATTGTGCCTGAACGGTCAATGTAGAAGCTACTTCTTCAACTTCTTTGACTTCTCTAAGCCACTTGACACCTTACAATAGACTGCTTTCTGCAAGAATTGACTACCTGGGCATGGCCCCATGTGTGTGAAAACCCTTGGCAGTCTTTTGGGGGGCTGAAGCAAGAGGATCATCAGTTCACAGCTAGCCTGGGCTACAAGCCAGGCTCTGTCTCACGAAAACAAAACAAAATTAGCTGTATCTCTCTCCCTCAATCCTTTCTTCCCTCCCTTGTCTCATGTACCCTAGGCTAGCCTGGAACTCACTCCATGGCTGAGGCTGACCTTACTTATACTTCTGATTTTCCTGCCTCTACCTCCCAAGTGCCTCTCTTTTTCCTTCTAGCTTCTCTTCCATTCTGCTCCAGGTCTGGGAGCTGAGCCTCCATCTGTCTGTGTGTTCCCATCCTCATTGGGCTCAAGGGAAACAAGAAGAAAGAACAGGAGAAAGGAGAGAGCAGTCCTGCCCCCACTGGACTTGGGGGGGGCTGTCAGGAGCACACACTTCAGGATCTGTGCTCTCAGAACTGACAAGGACCAGCCCATGTCACTTCTGAGCCCGGTGGCTCTGGCAGGGGCTGCCTGTGGACTGTTTCACTTCACTGCTGTCCATAAACCTTGCTCCACATCTTTACATTGTTCCTTAAGTGCATCAGCATTCCTACTGACTGTGGCAACAGTTCAGTGACCTACCACCAGTATGCAGCAACTCTGGCCTATATGGGTTGCTGCAATAGATTGCTATGGACTTAATGGTTTAACCACTCAACAAAACAAAAACAAAAAACAAACTTTCTAACAAGAGCTGAATGTATTAGCACAGGGTTCTAAGACCTCCATGTACAACAAGAAGTTGCATGACCTTGAAAAAGAAGGATAGACATTTCTATACTGTAGATGAACTTCAGGGACCCTATAGATGGCAAGAAAGTTAGAGAGGACAAATACTATATGATCAATCCTGTCACCCGTAGAGCTGGAGTGCAACTGGACCTGCACCCACACCCTGGGTCACAGCCCTGTGTGCTTCTGCTATACAGAGCAACACATTCACATCGCTGGGGCATGTGATACCCAGAGGCCATGCTCACACTTGACACACCTGTCAGAATGTGGCCCACCGGACAGAGTGTCAGCAGCCACTGTGCCTCCTGTCCGCAGGAGCCCTTGCAGCCACTCTCATACCTCCCCGCCTCCTGCCTCCTGCCAGGCATTTCCAATCTCTTTCTGCTTCTCAGTTACAACAGGTATTAGAGCTGCCCCAGTGAAGTTTCTCCACATGCAGAGGAGGAAGCTGGGAATTAGCGCATCACAGGGAAAATGTTTTAATCTCTGCACACGATGAAGACGGGCTTCCTTTTAATTCTATGCCCTTGGTGGCACTGAGAAGGATGAGAAGGTTTTGGGAGACT